TATATATATATATATATATATATATATATATATCTATATATATATATTATCATTATATTTTTATATGAAATTAATGTATGCATAATATATGCATATATCAAAAAAAATATAGACAAATAAGATACATCTCAATACAAATAATTAACTTTTCATCTACTTTCCTTCTTATTTTAGAGAGATTGATTTAAATGAGTTGGAATAAAAGTTAATCCATATATTTTTTTATCTTTCCTATTTTTTTTTTCTTACAAAACATAATATTTTATTTATCCCTTCAATTTTTCATTTTTCTAACTTTTCATCATTCAAATTTTTCATCATACGAAACAAAGCATGATGACCAAAGTGAACTTTAGTTTGATATTTATTAGTTTATATGGCCGATGGATGTGTACTTACTAACTTACATGGATAAGTAATTATGGACTTACTTGACGTTTATTTTTTTATTTTTTTATATAATTATAATTAATAATACCATATATTAAAATTAATGAAATATCATCATTACAATAAATATTTTTTCGTCGCAAGAAAATATTCAAAATTTTATCCACTAGGCCTCATGGGCCCCACCGGCTGTTTCGCCATGACAGGTATGAGTCTTCGTCACAAGCAACGCCCTTATACTAAACCTTTTCCATTACTCCACCGCGTACAATTAGAATAATTTTAAATATCATTGGCCAATTTGATAATCAATTATTACCTTGTGGCCAATTAGTTCGTACAAGGTAATAGTTGAACGAAAGTATTCAATTTTATTACACAAATGCAGATAGATAATTTTTGAAAATTATTTATTGATTTTATAAATCATTTAGAATTTTTGAGGTTTACCTTGGTATCAATACGGAGGTGTAAATAAATTCCAAAATATTATAACTTAATCGTGATAATCTGACTTAAATATTTATAAATTTTTTATTATAAATAAATTTAAGAATTTGTATACGATACGCAATTTTATTTTTCATCATAAAACAAATTAGATGCCACACAAATTATTTTTCTGTATTTCAAAACGTGCAAAACAAAGGCACGCCACATCACAGCCTGATGTGAACATCAACACACCTGATCACTTCTCTTCTCGAATCCGCGTCCCCAAAATAATAAACCTCGCTCTACGCGTCCCAACCGCGTAAACATTTCCTTATATTTGACCTTCCTTTCCCTCTCAACTTAAGTCTGCTGTTTGCTCTCTCTCTCTCTCTCTCTCTCTCTCTCTCTCTGTCTGTCTCTCTCTCTCTCTCTCTGTCTGTCTCTCTCTCTCACAGTGTATATAGCGTCTTCTCTATTTGCTGTACTTGAAAACGCAGTGTTCTACTCTCTGCAATGTCAAACGGTGCGACTAATCCTGAGCAGTGCTGTTCACTAGGCGACATGAATGATGTAGAGAAAGTTTTCAGAAAGTTCGACGCCAATGGCGACGGAAAAATCTCACTGACCGAGCTCGGCGCAATACTCGATGCCCTGGGCTCCAAGACGTCACCAGACGAGCTCCAACGCACAATGACCGAGATTGACACCGACGGTGACGGCTTCATTGACCTGAAAGAATTCACCGAGTTCCACAGTGCGGGATCGGATTCGGACGGTAACAACAAGGAGCTTCGCGACGCTTTTGACTTGTATGATAAGGACAAGAACGGCTTCATCTCCGTGACTGAGTTGCATTCGGTGTTGAAGAGCTTGGGCGAGCACTGCTCGTTGAATGATTGCCGGAAGATGATCAGCTCCGTTGACGTTGATGGTGACGGTAGCGTCAATTTCGAGGAGTTTAAGAAGATGATGAACAGGTCTTAATTGTAGTTTTTCTTCAGTATTAACTGTAGATTAGGGTGAATATGTACATAAGCAATGCTTCTCTGGAGTTATATTTGGCAGTATGGAATTGAATCCTGCAAAATTAGTTTTCAACTATTTGTTAACCTAGTTTTGAAATTCATACTGCCAAATTGATTTCGGAGACAATTGCAATGTCAACTACTACTTTTGCTAGGACTGTAAGTGGAAGAAGCAAAATGGTGGTGAAATTGGGGAAATGTCAGTATGGTTCGTTTTATAATTGCTTTTTAATTTTAGGGTGAATCACACTTTGTACCCTAAAAGATCTCTAAATTTGTAATTTACACTTTAAAAGATTAAAATTTTCGCATTATACTCTCAATCCGATAAAAAGTTAGGAATACGTTCAAAAACCAAATACTTGTTGCCTTGTCCTACAAATTTATCCGTTGTATTTCTACATCTTTATTTGATTGAGGTTACAATGTAAAAATTTTAATTCGTCATGGTATAAATTGAGAATTCAAAAATCTTTTGCCGTTCAAAGTGTTATTTTATTTGCCTTTAATTTTAACAGTTGACATTTATTCCGTATACTGACTTTGCGCGGGATTTGTACTTTGCGTGGTTCACGAAATTGTGACGGGTGTGGAGTGCCGGACAAGAAAAGAAAAGTATGCGCTTTGAGATATCTTTAAGCCAGTCTTCACGCGGAGTTGGTTGGGATTACCAATCGCCATTCGCCAGTCTTGTTCAATCACTTTTTTTTTTTAAATGAGAAACTTCTCGAAATCAAAGATTATTTTGGATCTGTTTTTACTGACTAAAAATTTTGGGTACCCGTGATTACCTTTTATTCACAAAAAATTAATTAAATTTGAGAGCCACTATGAAATTTAATTAAGAATAATTGGGTTTACTAACGGGAATTGAATACAAAACAAGAAGTTTACGGTTCATTTAATGTCTAATCTGATAGATGGGTTTTTTTAAGTAACTTGTGCGATTTTTGTTGTGTAGCTCCTTCAAACTGTGAGGTTTTGAATATGAGTTTTTTGAAAATAGTCAAATACATATTATAAACCCATGATTGTTTTGAATAGGATGTTTACCCTATTTTACAGGTAGGAAATATAATTTTTTGTCTTTTTATATGGTATTTTACAAAAAAATTATTTTTTGGCCTACTTTACTTGATTAGGTGTGGTATTCCTACTTGATTTCTTACCCGATTAATTAGGTAGGAAGTCGGGTAAACACTTTTGTAATTATTAATTTTTAGAGTATTTTAACAATTTAATTAAATAACATACACCAATTTAACAACACAATATCAAGAACACTAAAACNAGGAAGTCGGGTAAACACTTTTGTAATTATTAATTTTTAGAGTATTTTAACAATTTAATTAAATAACATACACCAATTTAACAACACAATATCAATAACACTAAAATTCAAAACAACTACAATAATAATTACAATAATTACAGTAAAATACAAGAAAGTATAAACATTAATCCATCATAATTGTTACACAAATACAATAATAATTATTTTAAATTTAAACTATATGAAACACATTAAAATCATAACTGTTTTAATCGATCATCAGTTCACCACAAATCATGTTACCTACACAAAAAACAAATTTATGTTTTAGCAACTCAAACATTCACAACAATAACAATGTTATAATATAAATTATGTCACACAAATACTCTTATAATTATTAAAAAAAATATAAAAAAAATTAAATATATTTTTTGCGAGTAAAGTAGGAATGCAAAAATTGATGGGTATTCTGTATTCTTACCCAATTTAATCGGAAGACTAAAAATTCTTTCGCATTTTTACCCGATTTTTGCAGCTAATTGTTCAGTAGGATAAGGTAGGGTCGGGTAGGATAAGAAATTACGACTAATCAAAAATTTGAACACCCATAGTTTTGAAGGTTGAGATTCAAGAAATCATAGGGGAAATAAATTATGGCATATTCATTCATTGCATTAAAAGCTAAGTATGAGAATTTGTTGAAATCTATGGAGGGAATGAGTCTGCAAAAGTGAAAAATTAAATTTGAAGATAAAAGATTATTTTATTTAAAAATTTATTCTTTTTAATCACCTAATAATGAGTATTTTTAATAAATTGAGTAATATGATGTGACATGAATTTATGAACTCCAAATATATTTATGTCATATATTAAAAATTAGATTAGATAGAATATGATTTAATTCCATGTAAAAATTAATTAAATTGAATTTGAAGAGATTTTTTAAAATCAATCAATCCCCGTGTTGATGATCCAAACATTGCCCTAGTGTTGTCTTTGGAACCTTTGTATACTTGTTCTTTTCGATTTCTGGTTGACTAGACTTTAATGTACGAGTGTGGCCCCACGAGTACGACCGGTCTTGTTTGCTATAAGTTTGATAAAAGTCTTTGTATGTTAGTGCAATTTACATTTGTGGTCCAAAATTTGAGTATGCGAACTGCTTTACTTCTTCCCTCGCTTTTGCTCTGATAGAAGTGTTTAGTGTTTGATGAAAAAAAATGGGAACTGCTTCATTTCTCGTGAGACCGTGCAAAGGCAACCTAAAGAGTGTGGCCCAGCTTATTAAATGTCATAAGTGTCAAAAAAAAATAAAAATTAATAAATATTGTTGAGAAGTTTAATTGTGAATAATTAAAGTTAATGCTTCATTTGGGAGTTTGATATTTATACATTTTTTATTTATATTCTAATTTTCCTAAATTAAGGGCCATTCTCTAATACAATCATATAATTATTGAGCTAACAATCGTAATAAAGATGAGGTCGTAAGGTATTATACTAGTTGACAAAGATGAGGCTGTTGTAAGTCACCAACTAGTTAAGTCATCTTTGCTCCTTATTCAAAGAGTAATGTTATTTGAATGAACAATGCTACGTGAAATTAAAAAATAAATTTAAAAATTAAACTTAATAATTAGAACCATTGAATTCACTGTGAATTCAATATTTATTGAAACTCATTACTTATTTAATGGTTGAGATTATCTAGTCTAATTTTTAAATCTATCTAACATTACTTTATTTGAATTTAAAATTTTAACATTATTTATAGACCTGATTTATTATAGTCTTTAGATTGATTGTGGATGTTATCAACCATTTAAATTTGCTCTTCATCCAATGATTTTAATAAAATCATATCATCAGGATAACAAATGAGGTCAATTTTTAGTTCAAAATAGAATTACCCTAACTCAAAATCAAACTCAAATTTAAATTCGGATAAAAAAGGTTCAAAAATCTTTTTCGATTTTTCAGTCAAATTTATTATTTATAATATAAAACAGGATATACTTCAATAAACTCATCAAACGGTCTCAAATAAATTCATCTAATGACCATTAATATTCTCAAAATTATTTACATTGTATAATACTTTTAAACACGAATTACCTCTAATATTAAATAAATAAAAACTCTTTTCTTGTCCCAAATTGAGTCAACCTTAAATCTTTNTGAACTCCAAATATATTTATGTCATATATTAAAAATTAGATTAGATAGAATATGATTTAATTCCATGTAAAAATTAATTAAATTGAATTTGAAGAGATTTTTTAAAATCAATCAATCCCCGTGTTGATGATCCAAACATTGCCCTAGTGTTGTCTTTGGAACCTTTGTATACTTGTTCTTTTCGATTTCTGGTTGACTAGACTTTAATGTACGAGTGTGGCCCCACGAGTACGACCGGTCTTGTTTGCTATAAGTTTGATAAAAGTCTTTGTATGTTAGTGGAATTTACATTTGTGGTCCAAAATTTGAGTATGCGAACTGCTTTACTTCTTCCCTCGCTTTTGCTCTGATAGAAGTGTTTAGTGTTTGATGAAAAAAAATGGGAACTGCTTCATTTCTCGTGAGACCGTGCAAAGGCAACCTAAAGAGTGTGGCCCAGCTTATTAAATGTCATAAGTGTCAAAAAAAAAAAAATTAATAAATATTGTTGAGAAGTTTAATTGTGAATAATTAAAGTTAATGCTTCATTTGGGAGTTTGATATTTATACATTTTTTATTTATATTCTAATTTTCCTAAATTAAGGGCCATTCTCTAATACAATCATATAATTATTGAGCTAACAATCGTAATAAAGATGAGGTCGTAAGGTATTATACTAGTTGACAAAGATGAGGCTGTTGTAAGTCACCAACTAGTTAAGTCATCTTTGCTCCTTATTCAAAGAGTAATGTTATTTGAATGAACAATGCTACGTGAAATTAAAAAATAAATTTAAAAATTAAACTTAATAATTAGAACCATTGAATTCACTGTGAATTCAATATTTATTGAAACTCATTACTTATTTAATGGTTGAGATTATCTAGTCTAATTTTTAAATCTATCTAACATTACTTTATTTGAATTTAAAATTTTAACATTATTTATAGACCTGATTTATTATGGTCTTTAGATTGATTGTGGATGTTATCAACCATTTAAATTTGCTCTTCATCCAATGATTTTAATAAAATCATATCATCAGGATAACAAATGAGGTCAATTTTTAGTTCAAAATAGAATTACCCTAACTCAAAATCAAACTCAAATTTAAATTCGGATAAAAAAGGTTCAAAAATCTTTTTCAATTTTTCAGTCAAATTTATTATTTATAATATAAAACAGGATATACTTCAATAAACTCATCAAACGGTCTCAAATAAATTCATCTAATGACCATTAATATTCTCAAAATTATTTACATTGTATAATACTTTTAAACACGAATTACCTCTAATATTAAATAAATAAAAACTCTTTTCTTGTCCCAAATTGAGTCAACCTTAAATCTTTTACTCAAAATTTTTTTTTTTTTGAGCCAAAACATACCTACTCTACCCTCTGTGAAAACAAAAACCTCGTCAGCCTCCATATTTGCTCCTACCTGTCCCGATTCATGAAAAATAACCAACATACATGAGAATATGGGATGAAATTATTGAATGATTATTTGATTTCTAT